GTTCAGAAAATGTAAATAAAAAAGCTTTATCTCAGCGTTTTATCTTGTCCCCCTTTGTAGAAGAAAAAGTCCCTCTTATGTCCCTCTTTTTCCTAGATTTGTCCCCCTTTATTTCTTTTTTAGTTGGCATCCCTGATCAGAAAGCTTTAGCCTTTGTCCAATGGAATAGCCATCGAGGTATGAACTCAGAGGCAGAATATAAAATCATGTACAAACGTCTGAGGACGCTGGTAAAAAGAAAAATTGATGACCATCAAATTGAGTAGATATGCGAAGAAATTAAATCATCTGTGCAAAGAAATGATTCAGCTATGGCATTCTCTCTCATTAGACGCTCTCTCATTAGACATTAGACGTGGTGGTAGTGAACGAATAGAAAATATGCCAATCAAAGATCGAAATGGCAGTTTATTTTTGAATTCATCGGATCGACCTGAAAGATGGCGAGAATATTTCAGTGAATTACTCTATGTACCATCAACAGCTGATCAACATTTGATTGATGAAATTCAAGTAAAGACATTGACTAAGGAAGACGTAGAGAGACAAAATGCCAATCCAACTGTAGAAGTTAGAAGAGCAGTAAAACAAATCAAATCAAGGAAAGCATCTGGCAGTGATGAAGTTACAGCAGACATTCTCAAAGCTGGCGGTGAGCCAGTTATTCTCTGGTTGTTTGAGATTTTCACTGATGTGTGGAAGAATGAGGAGATGGTGGAAGACTGGAGCTTGGCCCTTCTTATTCGACTGTATAAGAAAGGTAAAAAACAACTGTGACAATTACAGAGGCATTTCGTTGCTAAACGTAACAAGCAAAATATTTTCTCGTTTAATTTTGAACCGTATTCAAAATATGATTGATCATCAACTCTTAGAAACTCAAGCTGGATTTAGAGCACAAAGATGCACTATGGATCAGATCTTCACATTAAAAACTACGATGGAGACGAGAAGAGAGCTCAATAAACCATTGTTTATTTATCTTATTGATATTACAAAAGCATATGATTCTGTCAATCGCGAATTACTGTGGAAAGTCTGTTTAAAGTATGGTATGTCAGAGAAAATTGTCACCCTTTTGGAAATACTGTACAGGAACTCAAGGACAAAGGTCAGGATTGAAGGTGAACTTTCTGATAGTTTTTTAATTGAAACGGGAGTATTGCAGGCTGGAATTCCATCTCCTATCCTATTCAATATCCTATTTGACTTTATTATCAGAAAAATAGTAGAAGGAGCCGGTGTAGATTGTGTTCAGTTTTCGTACGGAAGTAATGATTTTTATCATGGTGCAGGTGAAAATTATGAGAATTTCAATATTTTGGCTTTACTCTATGCTGATGATCTAGTTGCAATGTGTGAAACAGCTGACAATCTTGAGACTTTCATACGACCTTTTGAAAAAGTTACTCAAGAAGTTGGGCTGACAAGGAGTGTCAAGAAAACATGTATTATGACCTCGAAGCAGCTCGAAGAAGATCATAACAGAAAGTTTTTAAAAGACAGAGAAGTAGTCTTCCCTGGATTTGACATCACAATTCGGAATCAGAAAATCGAAACTGTTGGCTCTTTCAACTACCTAGGATGTAGCTTAACAAGCGACCAAAGACCAGATAGTGGAATCAGTACAAGACTGAGTAAAGTTGCAACGGCATTCAATATGTTGAGACATGTGATTTGGAGCAGGAAAAGCATTCCAATCAAGTCGAGACTAAAAGTGTTTCGTGCCTGTGTTCTCCGTGTCTATTGTATGGAAGTGAAACGTGGTCTATCACAAGTGTACATGTACGTAGAATAAACACCTTTTATATGAAATGCCTGCGTACAGTCATTGGTGTGAATTTAGGCGACAGAATGCCAAATGAAAAGATCTTAGAAATCACGGGACAGCCACCAATTTGACAGCATCTTACGTAGAAACAGACTTCGGTGGTTTAGGCATGCCAACAGAATGATGAACAGAAATAACGAACCATCCGTTGTGCAGAAAATGACATTTTCATACTTCCCACAAGAGAAACGCCCTCGAAACGCTGGCATAAGGAAGAGGTGGGAAGACAAAGTTAAAGATGCCAAAGAATTTCTCAAAATTACCAACCGGAGAAGACAGATTCATAACAGAGATCAATGGCGTGATCTTATTGATAGAAATACCCAGAGCAGACCAATTCACCCTAACATCAAACACATTATGTTTGAGTATAAATACCGTGCAGTACAAAGCAGAGAAAATGAGTTAGCGGCAGCACAGGGAATAGAGAAGAAAAGGGTAGCAGAATTGTTAGTTAAGAACAGCAGTGGTTAATATCAATATCCTGGTTGTGGAAAAATCTTTATGCCTCAAGGAATTATCATGCATGCCAAAGCGTGTGCTAAGGATTGGTGCAAAAAGAACAATATTAAATGAACAAAATAATATGATTGTAAACACCTATTGGATTTTGACTTTGTGAGAATGATGGGTGTCACTAAAACTGATTACAGAGGGTGGTACCTTGATAATTAACTTAGTTCAATTTTCAATAGAAACGAACACTACTTTCATCAAATTGAACACTCTTTCCTTTTTTGTGTTATTTTTTTCTGATTGTTTTTATTCTCACCCTACACCAGAAATGGTAGCGGGTCTAACTAAACTAAACTAAACTTCTGCTACACACTAGCGTTATAGGACTTGTATTGGTCAATAACCAGAGTAGAAAAATCGACTGTTGTTATCCGCCATCTTTCGAACAAACGGACAGGCAATTTGTTTTTTACAAGCTCATACTTACAGCCAAGAAAGTAGAACTTTTGATAAAATGCCACATCTAACTATCCGAGTGTCCTGCATTTCAAATTCATTAAAATGCTACACTAAAAGTTCATTACTATCTCTTAGTTTACGTTAGCGTAATACGTACGACTTTAGAATGCGAAGATGTAGTCCATGGAATAAACGAAGAAAAATAAAAGTTTTATTCCTAAAAAGAATGCTACAATGTGCTTGAGTACAATCTTATCAAAAGTGTATTTTTCCTACCTCCAATGTATAGTTCTCCTGTATTACCAAGTGGTAATGGTTGCAGATACTCATCCACTACGTAACATTGGCAGTAATCTGGAATTGGGTAGCCAATTGGTACATCGTTTTGCGTATCTATGTCTGATTTATCGACAAAATGGTATGTTGATGACACAGTACATTCAGCTACACCATACAGATGATATATTTTGCAATTTGGATAAACAGCTGATGCTAATCTTGATACAGTTTTTGCAATTAAAAATTCTCCTACCGTAAAATGAAAAGTTATTCTACTGAATCAGTTTAACTTTCACTACTTCCACGGATGGCAGTCTTTAAACTCTCTACGGGATGAAAAATACTACTGTCTTTTTTTAGACTGGGAAGCTGTTTTGAACTCGTTAAGAGTTTAAATGAGTGTTATATTCGCACATAGTACAGGGAGGCTGTTTTCACTCGTTGCGAATCTAAATGAACGTTATTGTTAGGTCCGGTATGTGTTGTTGTGTATAGGGAGTTTATTTAGTTACTGAAGATGATCTCTTTTTGCACAAAAATAGCGTATATTTATAGTTAAGTTTATACGAAAAGCGGAATATTCTAGAGTTGATAAAATACACTGGGAAACTGGAGATACATGTAAAAGATCACCAATAATAAAGAAACCAAGAACTAACACTGGGGAAAATCCTGATAGAAAGAAAGAAGCCTTCTCAGTAGGGTTTCTGATCGCGGTTTACCGCAACAGCAAAACCGCGGTATTTTGACGAAAATCAAAAACCGCAAACCGCTAAAGGAAAACCGCGGTATTTGCGGTTTTTATAAAATTTATCTAAAAAATAAATTTTTACCTATTTTTACATTATTAATAGGTGTAAGAAAAATAAAAATCACGCGAGAGAAAAGTATTAACAAATTGTTAGGAAGTAGTTAACCTAATCTCATATCAAGCATAATAATCTTGCGATAT